TTGGCAATAGTTATAATAAAAAATAAAACCATTTCAACAATATACTGTTCATAGGATTTATAAATAATTTATGAATTCATCACTGGTTAAACATAAAATGCATTAGCAGTTTTAACATATAAAAGCGGAAATAACGTTTGATTTTGTATTTCGTAGGTGTTAAAAATAAATACCAAAAGTTATTGTAAATGTAGTAAATTCCATGTAACAATAATATCAACTGATTCTTATAGTATTATTTTATACTATTATTTTTGCATAATAATCATTTGTTAATTAACATTAATTGATACTTTCATTTTACTCAGAATCAGCTGATATTTAACAGTATCCATAAATTAAATCTTAATTATAATACTCAAAGCACGTCTTCTTTGATTATTTCATTCTCATTTTATTTTTTGACACTTATCATATTATAAGATGATAATAAATATAAGGTGATACTAAAATCATATTGTTATATCATTTTTGTTATTTATTTTATTACTGATTATGAACTCAGTACCTACTTAATTTAATGACAGCTCAGCAAGGGGGTAAATTAATTACTAGTACTCGTGTAACCAAAGATTTTGCAAGGAAAACATTGACAAAATATGTTTTAAATGAGAGGCATACAATACGGAATCCTTAGAGGTTCTCCAGTTAAAGGACATTTGATATTGACTTATAATTGTATTCTTATACAACCCCAAAGTATTACGCAATAGTTAAAATTAATTAGTTATATAATTCTATAACATAATAGCAGTAGGTAACAAAATCATCAATGGAATATCATACTTATAATTGGATCTATAGCTAATTTATTCCACTTTCCGATAACTTTTTACTTTTCGGTGAATGGATTAAAATGTATTTCGAAACCTTATGCCATTAATGGTTGTGATATCTATACATTTACCATTTTTTTTTCTTTTAATATTATCTATAGTAGGTAAATACATACATGTATATAGTGCATGCCGAATATTTTGGTTATTAATTTTATTAATATTTAAATCAATTCATACGAATATATATATATATATTTAAACTTATTTAAATTACGTCTGTTTTTTATTATGAAATCCAAAATGTTTAAACGTTTATCGTTTAAAAATGAATCAAAGAGTTCTGATACCTTAGAACTGTGTTATATTATGCTTATAAATTTTTTTATGAATATTATAATTTTTAAAACTAATAATTCACTTAATTTTTGTTTTTTTCAAATATTGTTATATATACTAATTAAAATGATCATACATCATTGATGACAATATGAAAATGTAATAATAAATTAAAACCCATTACTCCAAGTACAAACAAAAATTAAAATAGTTCAATAGGTACAAAAACAAACGATCTGGGCAAAACATTACATTTCTGAAGAACTTATGATTTTTACAAACTTTCATTTTAAATTTGAAAACGATACCGTTACTTTCGTTATGTGAAAAATTAAATTAAAGTTATGGTACAACTTAATTTAATATAACAGATACATTTACGTGCATCAACTAAAAATTATATTTTATTTATATTTATTTTTAGTCCAAACTTTATTATATTTATAATAAATTTTATATATTTTTTTTATTTTCAACATATCATTAGTAATTATTTATGTTATTTATCCACGTTCATAATGATTTGACAAAGTTATAGTTTATATTTTGTATTTTATTATTTTGTTTCTATTGTTAGTTCAGTTAGTTGTAAAAAATGCCTACTTACGTCTTACACTGATCATAAATAAAAACAAGACTTTTAGTATAGATATCACACGAAATAAAATGATTTAATATTTTATAATTTCTACAAAAAATAATTAAACAACATGCAAAACAATCTAAGACGACAAGGTTATTTTATTTATTTCAAGTAACAGGTTCAAACAACATTTCATTTACATTTTACACACATATAATATTGAAATAGTTATTTGAATAAACTATTTAGTTATGCTTCTGGAAAATCAATAAAGTGATGAAATATTATAAAATAACTGATCATTTAATTCATTATATGGAATCTATTATTATTTTTTAATTTATTTATATGATTAAATAAAACCAATTTTTACATCAACCGATTTAAAAATAAATGTATCAATTTACAAACTAAAATTTGTTTTTATTTTTCAATGCAAATAATAATTAATGTATTAACATAATATTTGAATTGTATTCATAAAATAATATATCTTATTAAATAGAAACTGCAATCTAAACAAATTAATATTTGAATTCAGATATTTATTTTACGACAACTTTTTTAAGATGTTACTATAATATATTAAGCTTACAGTATTTTTTTTATTTATTTTTTTTTTTTTATCATGTTGAAATCATCCACCGAATTAAATTTTCAAGTATTATTATCATTATTATTAGTGTTTAAATATTGTATGTAACTATTTTAGTCTTAAATAATATTCCTATTATATATGTTAGGAAAAATTGATTTAAAATATATAAATGTAGTAAGCATTATGAATATCTAAATTTTAAATAATTAATTTAATTCCACAAAAATCAATTTTTTATGATATTAACTTAACCACAAATGGTCCGACATATAATTTATACATAACGTAATATATATTTAAATGTAGTATAAGTACCTAAATAATGAGATACATATATATCTTTTTTTTTGTTTAGAATTAATTTGTTGTTAAATTAAATTTTATTACCACAATTTATTCATTTTTGAATCAATTTAAATTTAATTAACTTCCCGTAATAATAAAGACCGATAACAAAAATTATATATTTTTATTTAGTCTATAATTTATTGAATATCTATTTTATTTTATTATTATTGACTTAAATAACTCCGATAACTCATAATCCATTGTTCATTAGTTTATAAGTAATATTTACATATTTAATATATTTAACTTTAGCAATATTACTATTAATTTCGGATTTAAATGCTTTAAGTATTTTTTTGATGATCCCAATGATAAAAATTATTTTTTACTTTAGTTTTTGTAAGTTTTAGGCAAATATGTTTCAAATTTAATAATATTATCATTACTCATTCGATCATAATTTTAAGTATAACAACTATTTTAATAATGTATTAATATATACATTTACTGTAACCAATTAATTTTAAACTCAATGTTTTTAAATTTTTGAAAAAGTCAAATGTAAACAAAAAGGACATACCGAATAATATTGAAAATAAAGTTTAGTACCTATAATATAAAATGTATAAAACTAATATTTAAAAACTAGTTTTATAATGTATATTATGTATTATATAACGGGTAGGTAAAAGTGAAATAATATTAAAATCAATATAGTAAACTAGTTTTTGAACATAGTTAATTTAAATTAACCTCTCTACTATAAAAAACTTTTGTAGTACTTACCTACAATCTATCTAATTAAAGTAATAATTAAAAAATATTTTTAATCAACTAGTTTTTCCTAAATTAAAATTTGGGAAGAAAATAATTATAATATCATTACTTTAAAATTTTGCATTAAACCAATGTCAAACCTAACAATAATTATAAATATTTAAATTTATTTCATTATTTTATTTGAAAAAAGTCTAAAAAAAATCGCAGTCCCCTAACTTTGAAATTCTAAAAATGTACCTTTAGACCTACAATTTAAGTATTAAGATAATTTAATCAGACTAATTTCGTAGTTATGTACTTAATTTATTTACTATCTTTACTTATTACTCATTCACGGTAAAATCATAATTATTATTAATGATAAGATCCTTGAGTAATTCATAAATTTTGATGTACCCTTTTAAAACCGTTAACTTTTTTACAACTCTTTGTTCGGTATATATAATCAGCTGAGAACGAACATCTAGATTATAGATATAAGTACCTTATAATTTATAGATTATACAATAAATCAACAAGTATCGAGTTATCTAAACGACATTATCATAACATATAAGATATACAATACTGAATACACAATATTTACATAACATATTGTGTTATTGTGAGTTTAATTATTTTATCAGCCACAATAATGTACTTTTGTCGGAATTTTATTAAATGCTCCTACTTTTTTGACCACCGTATTATTTATAATTCAGTTAGATATTATTATAATCTATGAATATTTTAGTTAAAATATTCATATCACAAATTCATAACGATATTTATGTGTAAAAAAATATAATCAGTAATTTCAAAATTAATAGGTTAACGTTAATATAATCTCGAATTTTCCATGAAATACATAACATCGGTACATTACAGAATACGCGTTGTGTTTCGATTATTATAATCTGAACTAAATTTTTTAAAACTTTTATTGTCCAAATAATGATTATAATTATTATCAAAATATTTGTCTTAGATATATTATTATTATTATTATTTAATAGTGATTAGTCGGTTAGCCGTTAGGTCAGCTTACGGCCAAACGTCGAGATTTTAATCCCTATATGCCGGAATTTTAATAAAACAAAATCGTTATTTACAGTTTATTTGAGACGTATTTTTAAACTGAGAGAAAACAAACAAATCCACCGATAATATTTACTCAAAAACACTTCAAAGGCTCTTTGCAATGCACTTCTATTTTGACAAATATCAATACCACAATACTTAGTCATCAATTACATTATTTTGCGTCGTGTTAATTTATACGATGCATTGACGCTTTATAATATCATACTTCAAACCTGACACTTTTCTTTTTCGTTAAAATCGACAAATTCTTTGTCGCATCACGCGCATAATATTATAATAATATATGTATGATATTGAACGGTAACTCATATCATTTATTTTAATAAGCTTCATTTTATTCTTTGTCATTTTACATGATTACATAATTTCCATACCGTTGTCGATCTTTCATAAAAGCCAAAGTCGAAAACCACACGATTACGGAGTGTGTACGTGAGTAAAGGGAAAGAAAGAGGGAGAAAAGTGCGAAGTTGACAAACGATACGCGGCGGCAGTACTTCTATATACTTCCCCTCTACCACTACGCATATAAATTCGTACGGCGCGCACTCTTTCGCACACGCGCGCGTCGCTCCTCCGAAGACTCGATCGGACCACGAGAGCCACGGTGATACTCTCCCGGAATCGCATTCAGTGTCGTACGCTGACCGTCACCAGACGTCTGGCTCATTTTCGCATTCATTACCGCTTAAGTCCCGTCGATCGTCTTTTTTCTTTTTCCTCTTCCATTATATACATAATATTAATATAAATTATATATCATTATTTATCCTTTTCTCTGTCGCTCCGTTCTCCACCGACCGGTGTTACCTACTCTGTTGATAAGACATTATAGCCATGGCCGCGACGGTTTCCAACGGCAACGGTACTGATGTGGTGAGCTTACTAAAAAAGAACAAACCTCCGGCACTAAAAAAACTGTCGTCTTGGAAGGACGAAAATGACTTTGACGATACGGGCAACACAAAAACACCTAGAACTTCCACCACGCCGGGTAAGATGCCGGGTACGATTACGATAATTCAAATTTTAATATTATTTTTAAAATATTATAACAATGATAGTTTTGCGTTATAACATTTTATTATACTTTCCGATGACGAATGTTTGTATATAATATACACTGCACATACGCACAGACTTTTATCATGTGTTTAATTGAGTGTACAGTAGAACTCCATTTTTCGCCACAACCCATAGATGTGCGCGTGTATATATATGTATATGTTGTGAGATAACAAATTTGTGTCATGAATATGGTTGCTGTCCACAGGTCACGAGAACTGCACGTTTCATCATGACTTAGAGCTGGACCACAAGCCTCCTACCCGTGAAGCCCTTTTACCGGACATGACTGACTCATATAAAATGCTTTTGAGCGCGTTGGGAGAGAACCCCGAGCGTCAAGGGTTGCTGAAGACTCCGGAGAGGGCTGCAAAGGCAATGCTGTTCTTTACGAAAGGCTACGATCAGACGCTGACAGGTAATTTTATATAGCGTTCGATTTAGACCATTATACAACAGTCGTTATAAATATTATAGGTTATTATGTATACAGAGTCAACCCATATTAATACATTATTTATTTGGTTTTGAGGTTTTGAAATTTTAAATAAGTATCAACATTTTAGGAGAATATTTAGAGATACTTAGATTTAATTTTAAGATTCTAAAAGTTATACTATAGTATTATCATATCTTACATTAATATATAGATAATTTTATAAATAAAAATAAAATTTCTTCTGACTCAAATCACACATCCATTACTCAACTTTTTTTTTTTAAGTGATTGAATTGAAAGCACTAAATATATGAACTAGAAAGAAAAAGAAAAAAAATGAATACTTATTTAGTTTTAAATATAGATACTCATACTCTGGGACAATATTTAAAATACGTATTTGATTACTTGATTAAAAATATTCAAATACTATGACATGATTACTTTACAAGACTGGCTAAATGTTTCTTAAAATCAGAATTAGTAAAATTACTTACATAATTAATAGAAAAATGGTTGTAAACACTGAAAATGTTCAGACATGAAACCAAAGTATATTCGTGTAGCTCACGATTCTTCCAAACAGTAGTAATTAGTATGATACATTTTCCATATTTATTACTATACGCTTACACGATATATATTATCATATCAGTTTCTACATTAGATCCTAACGTCGTAGTAGGTAGTTTAAAAAAAAAAAATCATATTCACAACAACGTGTACGCATGGGCATAAATTATAAGGTGTGGCTGAGGAGCATATAATAAACTTAACCTTGCACTACTGGAAATAACTTGTATATGTGTTCCTGTATTATTATTTTGTAATTGGAGAGAATAAATTTGATAAATAATTAAATAAATTGGTTGTTAATTTATTACAGCTATAATGTGAGTGGTGTTAAAACTTAATTTCAGGAAGTTGATATTGATATGTTTTGTAGTATATAGATGTAGATGAGAGAATTTATTATGATTGATGGATTATTTTATATTATTTTTCAATATGTCTGCAGTTTTAGATTTATTTCAAAAAATAATAATAATAACTATAAAATACAATTTATTATATAAAATAATATATGTGCTTTTACAACTAATTAAAAACCATTAGTTGTCATATTTTATCTTTCATTGACGAAAATATAAAATAATATATCTCTTATCATTAATTAATAACCTGTTTGAAATAATTGGTGGCTATATTTTAAAGCTTGTCATAATTGCTATTATCACTATAAAAAATAGAACAAATGTCAAGTATAAATGTTTGAAAGGTGATATCTAAACGCTAGAATAGAAAAATCGTTCTGGCCGACGTTTATTTTTTTAATTTTAGTGTAATACAAGATTGTGTCATATATGAAAACATGAAATCAATTAATTGCATGATCCTAAATAAATTACGAAATAATTCCATGAATAGTAAAAATACGAAACAAAGTAAACGAACTAAATGTTTATCACACGATAAAATTATGAGACCAGTTTCACAATAAAAAAGTAATTTTAAGAAGCTTATAGCTTAAAAAAAATACATAGTGGTTTGCCATGGATATTAGCTTTTTTTTAATAAACGACTTTCTTGTCTATCTATAACACATTAACACAACTCTGTGCAGCCAACTCTTTCTCTGCGATCATCTTAGGTATAATATGTTACATGCGTTGGCATAATAACTGCGTGAAAAAAACCTGAGGTCGTTGTATATGCTCAAAACATTTCCAATGAAAACCCAACCTTGATATTATTAGATATACATTATTCGTATTTTGGCCGAGGAATCCTTTTATTGCTTGTACTTCATCTGATTAAACAGCAAAGTGTAGGAGATTTCGAAAACATTTTCCCGTAATTGAATGTGCTAGTTTCTCGAGATAACTTCGCGGCTGTCTTCTAGATGATACGTATGTGGAAAAGGTTTCGTGGTATTGAATAATACATGAATATAACTGCAGGCCCATTCCCACCCGCCGCCACCATTGACTCTTCAAAACGCGATTTTTAAGTGCATTACTGTGTTATTCATTAAGCCAGGAAAAAAATGTAGGGCCAAGCTCAGACATCACATTATGACATCATAATAAAACGCATATCGTTTTTACCGACGTGACGTGACTACGTAAATCACTTTAAACAATAATTATTATTTCGATCCGTGTTTTTTGTGTACAAAAAAATAAAATCAAAACAATAAGCGACAACGTGAAAACTGTTTGATTATGGTCATTTGGCGTACAACATATTTTCATAGACAAACACTGTATTACTGCATACAATACAATCAATTTATAATCATTCATTAATTTTTCATTTTTTCACAACTTATACAGTAATCTATAGTAATCTATTAATATAACTAGACATACGCAGTATTGTATTTATTACAGAGTATTTGATGCAATTTAATTATTATTTTATATTTTTGCTTATTTTACAAATATAGGTAGAAATAAAAATAAATAAATACTTATTTAGAACATAGTGAGTACATTAGATTATGCTAAGTAAAATACAAATTTACACTAAATTACAAAATTTTAATTGTGTTCAACATATTAACAGTCAATTCATTCTTCTTAAATCAATACAAATTACTATTTATAATTTTATTAGATATCTAGTTAAAAAATCTCTTACTAATTTAAATCAAGTAAATTTACAATTAATTTTACATTTAATAAAAATTAATCAGAAAATGATATTAAATATATTATGATTTATAATTATTAATTACGCGTGTAAAATGAATTATAAATTAACTTTAACTCTTTTTTTTGAATTGGAAAGAAAATCATAAAAAATTAATATGATTTTCCGAATAATTTAGCCACGTTAAATTTGAACGTAAGTTTGCTTAACTCATAACGGTGTAAATAAATGTTAAGTTGTTCTATACACATTTTCGAAAAATGTGTAAATACGTAACACTAAAATTTTACCATTTTAGGATTTCAATGAATAGAATCATCATAGATTTTTATTGTATTAAACTAAGTAGAAAAAAAATTATAGACATTTAATCGATGTTGTAACATTTTAAATTCACTTAAACGCACAATGCTATTCATACTCAGAAAAAAATTAATAAAAAAAAAACATCTGTTTTTAAATGTGTTTCATACAAATTTAATAGTACCTAATCAATAAAATATGCTGGGAATATACGTCTTGAATAAATTAATTACTTCGCAATAGAACGCAAATACTGAGTGTTGAATTCTGCTGCCATCTTAACCACCTCATGCATGAGTTACAGGTATAATTATTTTTATAGTTTTAAAATAATGACCAATAATTGGTAGATATCAGTTTCATCGGTATTACAGTGTTAACAAGGATAAATATGATATTTAAAATTTAAATTGCCTGTTAAATGAATTATTACGAGTAAAGATTTTCTATACATACTGTTAAATAAGTTTATGTCGTTTGTGACGTTTTTCGAGTGTGGGGGGAAGAACTAATATAATTATAACGCTATAAATTACATCACGTTCGTGAATATTAAATTCTATCATTACTTGACGGGTTAGTTTCTACTGCTACTGCTGTCGCTACTGCTATATATTACGTAGCATTCATTAGCTTTCAGTAATTTGATTTTGACGTACAATCATAGTAGTGAATAGTTACGAGAATACGGTTCGTTTTTAAACACCTATTTATAAATGCATTTTAAACTACCTACATATGTTATATACTTGGTCATTTATACTGTTTTATGATTTGATCGTAATGACAATATAAGTAAAATTAAAACTAATAAAAATTAAAAAGTTGTTTTCCAATATTAAATAATAATATTAATTTTAATTCTTTAATAATTGTATAGCATGATTGCATGAAGAATAAGATGTTTTAATTCGCTAAAAGTCAAACATTATAATTCGTCGAATACCGAAAAATCTATGTTTTAAATAATACCTATTTTTAAATTAATTTTTAAAATAAAACGATTACCTACATTCAGAAAAATCTACCAGGCTACGCTACGACCCATGAAATAAAATCAATAATTTTTTTTTTAATTTTTCGACTGGATTATTTATAACACTCTGTTAAAGTAAATTAATTTGTAGTGTCATTCATTAATCGATACACGACATATACGTCTAATAACAATATTATTATTATTCGATTAATTTATTAAGAATAGTATTCATCACATATTAATTGTTAGACCCAAATACGATATTATTGACTTATCAAAATATTTATACATATCTATAATATACAGTAGATATACATAGTAGATGTACTCACACGGCCATACGGTATAATAGTGTCTAGTGCACAATTTTCGTAATAACCCTGAGCGATAATGTGTACGCGTCAATGCTTAAGTATTATTCTATATACTACATAGGTATACAATTTAATACCTAATTAAATATATAGATATATTAAGTATTTGCCATTTTCGTTATGTAGGCAATACGATACAAACGTACATGATAATACCTTATACCGTGGATGGACAACTCCCTAGAAACCACAGACTACCCAGATATCGCATGCCACTATTATAAAAATACATGCACCAATATCATAATTCATAATATACCTACACGATTGTTCACAGTTCACGCTTATAATTTGATCGTTCTCGTACCGTTTTGCATCATATTACCGAACGCGTATATATTATGTAAATGTAACAAGCTCGAAATAATACGTGAAATTGTACACTTTCGTTCTTTTAAAATGTTTAATGGTTTTTCAATAGCTACTATTTTTTTAAAATATTTACACCTCAGTGAAAATCAACTCAAATTATAGTGATTATTTTACGTACAGTATTTTATTTTTTTTTATCTTGAGTTGTTTTATTTTAAATTTCAAGACTATATTTTTGCATTATTTACAATTATAGATTTCAAATCAGACTTTCGCGAACATTGATTTATTCTTATTCGTTCAATATTATTTCAATTACATTTTTTTAAACATATTTTCTGGTTATTGGGTATGAGTGATTGAATAATAATGCGATTATTTTCTTTAAAAACGTCAAAATAAATATATTATATATTAATTATTAGATTTATGTAAATTATTTGTAAAACTGTAAGCCCTTCTGTTTTTATTAACTACTTTATTTATATATATATATATATACGAAAATAATATTTCAACATTTAAACTTATCAATTGTATGAGTCAAGAGTTTCTATCATATTTTACATATATATTGATGAATAATATACATTATGCATAAAATACGAATATATGCATTTTATGGTCTTAAGGTTATTAACTTCAACGTATACTGATAATAATCAAATACATAATATTATATACACACATATTATTATGTATAAGTGTATGAGGGTCTGCGTGTCCTTCGCTCATTCTATGCTCTCTAAAAACAATAAAGGTACTGGGAAATGCCTCGGGAACTATGTCGATTTATTTATCGTCAATGTTTTTCTCTGAATTTTCATTACATGAATTCAGTATAACACTTCAGGCTATATCATTTAATAATATTCAATAGAACACGTGTGAGTTGGACATTATTGTGTAAAAGGTCTAATAATTCTGAGTGTGAAGTAATTTACAACGTATATTATATTAACGTTAAACAGTATATGTTAAAGAATTTCGTATAATGATTTATTAACGAAACTGAGAAATTGTCAATCTAAAAATATTAAATTGATGTATTAAAAAAGAATTCAACTACTAATACTACGATTACGCTGTTGGGTATATATTTTATTGGTTCTTAAGTATTTTTTTAAATAATATACGTACATATCGACCCGATAATACTGATAAACCGTCTACGCATTGTTACCTTGGCAACAGCAAATTGAAAATTGCCATCATTTCTAAAACGGGACGGAAAAGCTTTTAAATCATCGTACTTTTGAGGTATTCTACAATAGTGGTCCGGTTACAAGTGGTTGTCGACATTCTGATTGAATGCCATATCCCTTTTCCCCACCTTCCACTGAAAATATTATATGGGTATTATAGGGGAGATTTGTATTAACGATATTATATTATGTACATATTTTTGTAACAAGCCAATTGTGAAAATATTGTAATCAGTACGCATTATTCTTTTTTATAATCTAACAGATAAATTTAATTAATTATCACCTATATATCAACAAATAATTGACATTTTTTGGAATCACTCTGTCAAATCAACAGTATTTATCCGTCAATAATAAACAAAGTAATTAATTTTATTTAGTCTATAGTCTATACTTAACTCTTTACGTACTTACTCCAATTACTTATTTCAACTGTATAAAAATATAAATTTTAAAAAAATAACACTTACAAATTCGTATAATGCGCAATTGAAGAAATTAAAAACTCAAACGATTAATTAAATTATATATTTTAAATTAATGTATCTTCAATCATTTGTTCGATTATTTTTTATAAAACAAAAATATTAACACATGTATAGGTATAAATTAAAATTACGATTAAACATATATTTAATAAATAAGTATAAATATAATTATAAATAAATAAAAATAATATATAAATATTGGATACAAAAAGTAAAAACATAATAAGTACTTTTAAGATTTTACTGTGAATTCTAGTCAGTATCACTTTTATATCATAGATTTCATATTTAAATTATGTTTTCTCTTCGCTGGCTTTATGTGACTGCACAAAGGGTAGCAATTACCATTTCTGAATTCTGAGTAAATCTTCAAACGCATTATCTGACGATGACATTTGACGTATAATAGATTGTAGGACGTAGGTGTACTATAAAGCATCCACTATGTCCGCTGTGTTAATCAATACTATTAAAACGAGAGACAAAAATTATTTTTTTTGTTTTTATGAAAAATAATACGGTATTACTATTTTATACAATTTATACAAAAAAAACCAGTATTAGATCAAAAATCATTATTTAAATCAAATCAATTTTTTTAATAAATAATTTTTAATATTTAAAAAAAAATAGATATTTTGTTTTTACAATTAATTATTTATTTTAATGCTTATATCTAAAAGTATAAAATCAATTACGTGTCTTAAATACAAATTAAATTCAAACACAAAAATATAATATACATTGATTCATTTTTTAATTAAAAACCGTTAATTATTAATTTTAATTTTTTTGTAAAATAATTTACATTTTAAAAATTTGATAATTATTAATAAATAAATATTTACTAATATTTTCATAGTATGAAATTTTATAAATATAAACAGGTTTTTCATAAGTATTGCTGTAACATATTTTAAAAGTAAAATTGTATTTTAACAAAATTGACTATTAGTTTAACCTACCGATTACATAGTACCATACAATGTAGGTAGATAATCTATAACAATAAAGATATCTACACGATTTAATATGCATACATAATTCAATAAATTAAGCTCAATATTATTTAAAAATATTAATATAGCATTTTTACTTAATAGCTAATAACTGAAACGTAGCTTAATATGACTGTTCGTAAAAACATTTAAAGTTCAAGTCTTGCATAATAAATTGATCGTTAATAATTATGGTTAATCTATAATATTATATCGATGAAATGTGTTTTTGAATTTAATATTTTGGACAATTATTGATTTTCTGAAAAACAATAGACTATTTGCTCGGGCTTACAACTACTGCAATGAAACTTTTACGTACAATGGTCATCAGTTCATCACCAATGATTGAAAGCCAAATATTGACTTGTATGTAGTTAATAAGAGGTCGCTGTTCATCAGTGGTGGCTGTTGATATTTAAATAAGACTAAAAATAAAACTACTAAATAAAAATATTACTGTTTTATTTATTTTTTTTAAACGCTTATTTTAGAAATTCCCTTAAAATTCATTAGATACTTGTCTGCAGTTTATTATATTTTAATTAAGTACTACCTACTTATGACTTAGTGATACTTTACAAGAAATGGATTTTTATACTGAATTAAATTCATATTTTGATGGTATAAATCTCGTTACACAGATTTTCAGCCATCGTCTTCAAACAATGTTTTTTTGTAGGCAATAATGTATATGCAACAGTGAAACGTATTTAAGAATTTTCAAAGGAAAGGTGATGCGATTTTATTTAACATATAATTAAACATGAAAAAAATATCCTATATTATTAGATCATAGACAAAATTATTAAGGTGTATAAATGTACATATTATTAAATTTTACTTAAAGAGTACTCCCTATTATCCTCGACCACTGTAAATACGCCACAGCTACACACGCAGTAGGTAAAGTTTACCTAACTTTAAACTTTTAATAACCCTCAAGTCCAAACTATTCCATATCGCATAATTCCAGGCCATATATATTATTTACCTCTAATCATTCGATTCCCACGCATATGATGGTCTTAGTAATTGTGGATTAAATTTTAATACTTACCTTCAATATATTATTAAGATGACGTTATACTCACATGTGTTCTCTACATCCTACAAAAGCTCGACATAACAAATTTTACGTTCAGAACACTGTGATATTTTTTTAATATGAGAGTAAATTGGTTTATTCAAAATTTTAAGGTAAGAATATTATTTTTGTCCCCACGTATAGTTTTATTTTATATTTTAATTGTAAAGCAAAATAAAAAAAAATTTAAAAATTTTCATAACTACCTTCAAAGCTTTAGATGATATTTTATTTTATAATAAATAAATTTACACTAGTATTTAAAACAACATATCTAGTAAAATATGAAATATTTTGTACAGAAAATTTGATACATTATGCGTTAGTAAGAGGAGACAACATAAAATAATATATAAATTCCAAACAGATGAATTAGTTAAAAATGGAATATTTTTCGTTCGATTAAATTCGAAATGAATATCTCAAAATATAATTTAATTAGAACGATAGATAATATTTCATAGTTAAAATCTCTAAAGTTTAATATAAAGATACAATGTATCGTTAATTTAGCATGTTTGCATAGATTTAACAAATACCTTTGCATATTTACAATAGTGATGACTCATCATTATGTTATTTATAAACACTGAAGTACTGTACCAGAAGCAAATTAAAACATACTCGTCTAATATGATAGCACACTTGTGCATTAAAATTTCATTATTTAGAAGTAGTTATCTCAACAATAATACCAGATAATTGACTAGGAATCCATTAGAAAGTAAATTAAATTTCATTATAATGATATCATTAATTCAACGATAATTAAAATAATATTATAAAAATTATAAATAAATCAAAACTTTTTTTTTTTAAATAGTAATAATTCGTAAATATTACTAGAAATTTATTTAAAAACTAATCATTGCATTCCTAAGACAACGTTTAATAAATAGTAGGTATGGCATTTGCAGTAATGAACCAAATAATTAATCATACGCTAGGAACGTTCATAATTAAATTTATAAGAATTAAAATTTATATTTTCAAATCCTCGAAATGGAAAATTACAAATACTATTGCAATATTTTCATGTAAAAAATATTTTATTTTTTTTTTTTAATTGATAAGTATAATTTTTTTAATGTATGTGTTTTAGACGTTCTTAATGATGCGGTATTTGACGAGGATCATGATGAAATGGTTGTGGTGAAGGACATTGAAATGTTTAGTATGTGTGAACATCATTTAGTTCCATTTTACGGAAAAGTTTCGATTGGATATTTGCCGAAAAACAAAATTTTGGGCCTCAGCAAACTTGCACGCATCGTGGAGATGTTCAGCAGAAGACTTCAAGGTAAAACTAAACAAAATTGAAAATACCATGCATATAATATTACCGATGTTGTTTAAATATTAGGTATTTATTAGACAGATAAAAAGGGTTTTTTGTACCTTTTAAATATTATTGATAAAGTTTTAAAAACGATTGCTGTACAAACTTTACTCAGTTCATAACTTTAAATTGGAATTCAATTATTAAAATTGAATTTTTTTTCAAATAATGGTCGAATAATATTTTTAAATATTAAGTACAAGTATAATTTCTAAATAAATTATATAAACCATTAACTCAAATAATAAGGTCTAATCTAGTAGAATTATCGAAATATCATACCATAAAAAACTATATCGAAAAAAAAAATAACAAAATAACTGTATTTCCATTTTCCATTAAGATAATTTAACATTTTTACAAATTAATAATAACATTACTATTGTGAACCAAAGATTTAACATCTCTTCAATATAAAATATAAACAATCAATACAGTATATATTCATGTTTATCAATTTATTTCTAATTTATTTTAATTAATAATTCAATTCAAGAGAACAAAATGTAAAATAAACACACGGCTTCTGTTCGATAATAAAAAACCTATCAGTCGAACTGAAGAAAGCTATTATTATATTTTTATACACAATTCGTCTAAAATTAATTGTGCTTTAAATTAAATAAACCTTTTAATTTGTACACAAATTATAATTTGGTGTTATACTAATTTGTGATATAAAAATTTTTTAAAAAATATGAGAAATTTTCAATATCATAAATTTGCGTTGAGACTGATAGGTTTATTAGTTTACCTGATCAAAAAATGGATTTTAATCTTATTTTAAAATATATATTATGCATAAATTAATATTAAATACTAACGGTTAACTTCTCTTTTTTGTATAGAATATTAATCCAAAGTCACTAATTCCATTACAGCTACAGCTTTTGATCTAATTTTTAGAGAAAAGCTTTAAAAAAACTAAAATAAAATATATATTGATGGACTAAAATTTTTTCCTCTCAGTTTTAAAATTATTTAGGAATAATAGAAATAATTTAGTGTTGTTCCCTCCGTTTAATATTTAATTAATTAATAACATAATTTTATTTTTTTGTGTCTGTTAGTTCAAGAGCGATTAACTAAACAAATTGCTGTGGCTGTCACTCAAGCCATTCAGCCTGCTGGAGTTGCCGTAGTCATTGAAGGAGTGTAAGTTAATTTTTATTTAAAAAATACTTCTACATATATGGTAACGCTGCCATAACTTTATAAAAAGTTCAAATTATTTTCAATAGCAAATTATAATAGTGAATAACTTACTAGGCTTTTTATGTTTGAATAAAATAACGCAGAAAAATTTACTGGTATGCTACATAACCAGCAACTGATGTAGAAATTATTTTACATGGCACGTAAACATGAGCACAATTTTTAAAAATAAAATAGTTGTTATTTAAAAAATTTCACTACATCATTTTTAGACAATTTTCATATTTAAATGCTGGTCATCTAATTCATTTTATAAATTAATTTATTTAAATAAACACTCCAGAGATATGTAAACCTGGCAAATTTACTAATAAATAGTTAAATAAATAAATATTGAAATAACTGATTTTTTTTTAATCAATTAACAAAATAATATCAATCCATCCTATACGTATATGAAGTTAAAAACATTCTGTAATCATAATTAACTTAGTCTGAGACATAATTTTTTTGGGGCAGGGGGTGAGTGCAGGGTATGCATTCGGACCAATTTTTTTTTAAAACCTTTTTTTTTTAACTTTAAATTGTCAAAAATAAAATTTAACGCCGATGTAGGTACCTAAATGTTTTAAACCAGATATTGAATCATAATATTGTTTTATGATAATGAATGTTTTATATTTTTAACTCGATGGTTTGTTATTAAATTAAATTTAAGTTGTTAAATTGAAATAGCAAATGGAAAACTATAGAAATATGACTTAAGTAGACTGTATATTGTGTCGTTGTGAGTATGGGTACCCGTAGAATAAATTTCCGGTTTTATTTAACTAACTATATTATATAATATTTCAAGTGTATTTGTAGTTAGGTTAGATATTTTATTATTAAAGTGCTTATATACTCAAATATATTTACCAAGTATAAATACTACTAATAATCAAAAATAAGTACAAATATAAATATATTAAAAGTACACATAATTAGACATAAATAGTAACGATGGTGATTTTTTCATACTAATATAAGTGACATTATGAATAAATAACACAAATATTCTACAGAGTAGATATTTCATATAGTTAAAAAGATAGGTGATTTAGATGGCTATTTAAAGTATAGCTATGGCAATGAATATTGAAGGAAAGAAAGGAAGAGGAAAACGATAAATTAACAAAAAAATATAACCAACAGCAAAATACGTCTAGATAAATTACTTAATTGTATTTTAAAGAAAAAAATTATTTACCATTAAATAACACATCAATTGCATTTTAAATTATAGTTATAGACATTGAATACAAAGTGACAGTAGTCAGTAGGTATAATAAATTGTCAAACAAATGATCTGTGCTTTTTGGATTAAGATTAAACCTTAAAAGTTTTTCTACTTTAATGTTCAAAATAGTAATACTAGGTCTTTTTCTAATTTATTATGAAAATTATAAAAGTTCCAGGGTTTAGTGATCAACGAGATTGATTTTTAAAATAAATAAACAATTTTCATAAGTCGATGACCTGTATAAGAATACCATGGGCCTATAAAGTGTTTTAAATAAGTTTTTATCGTGACTGATCAAGTTTATTAACTTTTTATTTGTGATTAAATTGTTATTCAATCAATTTAAATTATGATAACTATTTTTATTGTACTATACTACAATAATTATATATTGAGTTTGTGTTTACGGGAGTATGTAAATACTATATTGTATTCCTGAGTTGTTGTTTTTGTTAGTAAAATTGTGCTTTGGAGTTTAATTAATATGAAAAATTCACTTGTTAATTACGTTAAAAATAAACTCGATAATAACTTGTAAAAAATGCCATAAACAAGAATAATCAAAATTATAACAATGTACTTACTTAGTTATTATTTGAACGATGAAATGTAGTATAATATAACGTTATAAGTTCATAATATCATTATATTAAACAATGAACTGAAAAACTATTCATATCTATTCCAAATACTTATACGAATAGATATAAAGACGAATAAAAAGTTATGGTATTGCCATTTATTGTTTTGAAAAACAATAAGGAGGCAGAAGCCAGAGGGAATTTTTAGGCATAATGATATTATAAAAAAAAATTTTAAATATAATGGATTGGCACAATGGTATCTGGTGCAGCATCAATACATCGAAAACCTCATTAATTATAAATAATATTAATTAAAACATTATTGAACAAAAATAAAAAATGAGATTTAAAATGATTTAAAAAAAAAAAAAAAACATAATATTTTAAAAACGATGCTGCTGATGATATTCGGAGCACTCGGATTTTATAATATGTAGATTCAGTGGAGTACAGTAAGGGGCTAAACATTTGATACTGGTCCTGCTTTTAACCTTCAGCTTACTTGATGCCAATCCATTATAATGTCTTATAATTCGTAATTATTATATTATTACTGCAGTAGCCAAATACACAATAGAACAAGTAAGTATAAAGAATGACATGATAATTGTTTTTTTTTTTTTTATATATCTTTTATCAGACACATGTGCATGGTCATGAGAGGCGTGCAAAAGATAAACAGCAAAACCGTCACGTCCACCATGTTGGGAGTGTTCAGAGACGACTCAAAGACACGTGAAGAATTTTTGAACCTAGTCCAGTCAAATTGAATTTTGTCAAAACAGCATCAACATTACATTCACAAAACATTACAACAGCGAATCTTTATAATCCTAATGGATTACTATTATCATTCGTACATATATACTTAAATAATTTATAAATATATATGTATAGCGTTACATAAACTTATTAGTCACTCACTTACGTATACACAAAAAAATAAATATCTACTGGAATATGTGTGCACACTTCTGATTAAAGCACATAATATATATTATTCACATAAAAGGCTGGGCTTTAAAATTATTAAAAAAATATCAGTTAATTGTTATTAACTTACATAATAAACTACTTTCTTGATAACATTATTTCTAAAGAGTATACCTACCTATAAATTTTAACTAATCGTTGTTTTAATTAATAATATAATCCGTTTTCAACTTAATTGATTAATTCTAATCTTTATTTCGTCTTATTTTTCTTTGAACTTATTACGTACCAAACAGATATTATTCACATTTTTCAGTATTAACGAAATGAAAAGAAAACGAAAAAAACTGATTTACTAATACTCAAAATTGTTTATATTAACATATATACGTTAAAACTTAGTATTAATCGAAAATTACCATAATCATTATCATCTACTATAATTATTGGTAAACTATTAACCAATAAGCCCTGGTTGTTTATCTGCTCCCTCCTTTTCCCTCAGAGACGGGCCACGTGTTAATGTTTGTTATTTAAAAAATCTATAATAATTGTTTGTTTTTATATTTTTGTCGAAATGTTATTGTCATAAAATAGATTTTATTGTTCTGGTTTGATTAATACTTTATTATAACCAAATTGTATTGAAAAATAATATATTTGCTTTGTGCACGGTTTGGTTATACTTAGCATTTATTAATTATTATATATTTATCATTATAAATTATTAATTATTCGTATTATAAAATAATATATTATATATCATTAATTCAAAATTGTTAAGTTATTTTTGTGTAATGAATGAAATGTAAACCCGTTATCCTTCCACTCGAATACATACGGTCAACGTCAAGTATAGTAATCTTGATGACAAATGTTTATATTCCAAGAAATCATAAAAATAAATAGTTATAAAAAATTGATATTGTTATTCATAATACATATTTTACTGTTACCCACGTTTATCCGAAAATATAAACTTACAAGATACAAGTGGGGTATTAATTTATCTTCTTCATAATAAATTCAAGTTTAAAATAGATGGCTTGTAATCGATAGAATTGCCAGCAGTAGAAGTAAAAAACAAAATATGGAGCCTTTGAATACACGCTAATGACTATTCGTTAACAATTCTTTGTTGTTTTGACCTTTAATGTTAAAACAGACGACCGATACTAATAAAATGTTCAAAGAGTTCTCATCATTAAATGAAATATATATAATACGTATGATTATAATCATTATACAATATACATAAAACTTATAATGCTATATTATTTAATACAACTGTGTTTTGAGAAACAAGAAACAAATATACGTAAATGAATCATAAATGTGATAAATGTGAACGATTAAAATAACTACTCGTATTTTCAAAATACAATTCGTTTGAAATATTATTGAAAAATATGTAAATATTTATATGAAATAAAAAAAGATATTTTTTTAAAGTTTTATCAAGTATGTATGCTCAAAGTATTATAAGTGTACTTAATTTTATTTAAATATTATCATTAAAAAAATAACATTATTTACACATCATTTTGATCACTAATTTAAGTAGCTAGTAGGTAGTTTATAAAAATAAATATTTATTACAGTTTATTAACATTTAAAAAGTTTATATTCAATATTCATTTTTGATAAACATCTATAATTGGTTACAATATATCAAGTCGATGCTTCTAAATTATTACAATTTTTGACCAATCTTCTACATTTTAATATACTTTTTTTATTATTTAAATTATCTCTCAACAACGGTGCTATTGGATACCACGACCGGATATACAAATAATATATTGGACATTGGCACTTGGCATTCAAATTAAATTTTATTTACCTAAATCATGTTTATAATGCTAAAACGAAGTTATTATTTTTAACATGATAAAATTTGTTAATTATTTAATTCGATTCACATATAATATATAAAACTTTTAATATTATTTACAATAAATATTTCTCTTGAAATTCCAATAAATAAATTACACTTTATCAAATAATACGAAACACTTAATTGGTTCTTACTAACTTAAATTTACATCAATATTAAACACTTAGTAGATGTATGGTCAATGGTTGTATACTTATATCCGTATGTAAATGCATGCTGTTCAATATTTATACTTCGAAACATGAATGTCAACATTGTAATTTTCATTTAATTTTGAAACGAAAAGTGTCACTTTAACTATTAAATATAATTACTTAGCTATTGCTGCCTATTATAATTATTATGTTTCAAACAAATATATTTTATTTATTGGCTATTTATTAACTATTTACATGGCAACTAAAAAATATTTAAAAAAAAAGTTGTTACAATTTTGTTTTTTGTTTTTTTACCAATGGTAAAAAAATTTATAGTTCAGTAAATTTTCAAAATTTTTGATGAAATGGAAGATTTTCCAAAAAATTGGAGTTTGGATATGGTGAATACAGAAACATTTATTGACTCAATGAATCGTCTAATGTAGGTATCGAATACAATTTGATTACTTTTATACTCATAGTCATAAGCATCATAATACTATAAACAAATTAAATATTATTTCATGAATCAATTTACGTATGAAAATCTTTGTTTAATTTTAGAACAATCATACAATACATAATCGCAGTATAAAAATATTTTCGCAAAAAGAGTAGAAGAATACAAATATTTTATAATATACCTACATGTATATTAAAAAATAATAATATACAGAGTGGTTTATTTTCCAAACATGTACATTATCAAATATTAGATTTTTACACCAACTTAAGGGGTATCTTTCTTTTAAATTATTTCAGAGAATAAAAAAAAAAAATTATGGCAAAGCTATACAAAAACTAATTTTCAAAAAATGATATTGTTTTTATTTAATTTTTTTTTTTTTGTAATTTTTGCTGTATATTTTCAACATATATTTCAATAGCTATTTACAAGACTTGGTATAATTTTTAAAGTATTTTGGGTTTTTTTATGCTTTACTTGATTTTTTTACTTTTTTAAATATGATAAAAAAATTATTTTTTGGTAAAAAACTTAAAAATCGATATGATTTTTCTCAAACGTTTTTTACTAACAATTTAAAAAACAAGTTTAATTTAAATTCACAAAATTAGTTTATGAACGATAGGTTTTTAAATGTTTATTAATTTAAAATGACTTCACAACAATAGTTTCAATCAATAGATCGTAGAAACGTAAAATATTCCCCTATTTCTTAAACTATAATTTTCGATACTTCATAACATTTTAAACATTTTTAATATATTTAGTTTACATTTAATGGGGTGTAAGAAGGATTAAATTCTCTAACATTTAATTTGTCACAGGCAACGATGTACAGGATTAGCTATAATATCATAATATATGCGTTTTATAGAAGTATAGACTGACAGACTGTCAACGTTCAGAAACGTTTTTCGTATGGAATGATATATCAATTAATTTTAATTTAACTCATTAATTGCAAAAATATTATTGCAGGAACAGTGATGACAATGGAACTTCCAGCAATTCTACCGACGATATCGACACGAACAAAGGTCAACTGTCGCATACGGACCAAACACAATTGTCATACACAAACCTCATAAACGACCTGCTCGAACCCCATCCGAAAGCCGAGTACGGGCATTTCGAGTCCTGCGCCAACGCCATGTAGTGAGTTCATAAACAGCGCACGTTACGGTTTACATACCGTTTACAGTCAATCTGACGCGAAAATATAAGAAAAAAATTTAACATCGCTTGTTTTTGTTTTTCTTTTTTTTTTATAACGATCACGTATCATTGCCTCCGTTTCGTGTAGTTGTCGTGACTGTCAGATGATGCTGAAGCCAGAATACGTTTCCCGAATCCCATGTAAGATGCGCGAGGTTGTCGTGCAACAAGACGGTACCGTGACCTACGTACACACTAAGTAATCCAATGGCAGGAAGGGCGGGAAGACGATCTGTGGGTGTGTGAGGGTGTTTCCAATACCGTAAAGTGAAGCCCCCGGCCTGTGTGGGTTCTAGCGGGGCCGGATTTCGACTATTGGGTGTACAATGCAAACAACATCAGTCCTCCTGTGCGTTGATGAGCAACAAGCTCAGTAACTAGCGGAGAAAATATATCTTTCTAAAAATTCGGATATCGTAATTTCAAAGCCTCGACTGGCATAACCTCTTTATTAAAGTCTGTACGATTTATGCATACCATTCACACGTATGTTGTTCTGCTCGAATGTAGTATTATCGTGATGTTTAATTACACCATTTCAATCAACGCACAGCTTCACACTGTTTAAAATTATTAAAAGATTACATTTTAATACACCGTCTTATTTTCTCGTTTTAAAAAATGTGAACAATTAATAATATTTTAACAAAATTCAGATGAAATATCGCTTAACTACATTTTCTTATAATTCCACTTAAAACATCGATCTAGTATCAAGATACCATTAATTTTGATAATAAATTATAACTGATAATTTTCTAGATTGGTAATTAAAATTACAGTTACTTAATATTAACCTCATAAAACTATCAGTCGATTCCGGCTCTTTACAGTCGCGGTTATAACCACTGAATGAAAAGCTGTTTAAACAATTTGATTAGATGCGAAAAAGTGGACTTGACAAAACATATCCATTCCATTGCCAACGAATCTGGAAGCTGGGAAAAAACATACTGGCAAGTATGGTCAGAATGTCATTTCTTATCTTGCATCACATGTAAATTCTGTTATCCAGTGAGGAACTCGGCCATGTGCCAATACCATCCGGAGAGCCCCGAATACTTTCCGATTGGAAATTTAGACTTAGAACAACCCATAGGTATAATAAATAACGTATTTTCTTATAATGGTATAAAAGTTTTTATAAACTATTATTTTGAATATTCAAAAAAATATATGTTAGAATATATTGTTTATAAATGTATGTATATTGTATATACATTTTCAAAATAAAAAAAGTTCACGTTTTCTCGCCTCAATCACGTTCCAAAGATCCCCATGGTTGGAATAAATTGTTACATTATTACTTGATTCGAAGCATTTTGATCTTATTCAGTAAAAATTGTTAAACTAATGAATAAAACTATTAGGTTTTTTCAAGTTTTTATAAATTTAGTTTATCATCAAATGACTCGGTAAATGACTTAAAATTTAACTTTCTAATAACCTCTTGGACTACATGAACACTTAAAAAATCAAAAAATGACTTCAATTATTCTGGTATGAATAAATAAGAAAGATTTTTTTTATTTAGTAATAGTAAATATAAACAATAAAATGCTTATATATGTTTAAGGATATTCTTCGATATAACTCGATTGTCTTCTATGAGATTTATAATCATAGTTTAAATTAAAATAATCTATTAGTATTATATAACCTGGCAACCTGAGATTTTTTCCAACATACTTCACTTTAAATATCTCATCTTATTTTTGTTAACGTTTCGATATTATGATGTATGTGTAGAAATTATAGAAAGTAATTGATTTTCACTTCTTGTGGATATTAATTATAATAATTTTTAACCGAGCAAAAACGTTAAATACGTCGAATACCTAACTTAAAACTTATTTCTTGGAACATATATTAATCCCTCTTTTATTGTTATAAAATTTTTAGTCTTCATTAGTCCTTAGCATCAATGTTGTGTATTAAACATTCCCGTTGAATATATATTTTAAAATTAAGAGCTTTTATTTGTTAGTTAAATATTGTGTCTAAATAATTTAACTCGTGTTAATAATAACAAATCAACTAACTACAGTCATATCGATACCTGTATGGTATTATATGGTAGTATAATATTTTATTCACGTTTAATCATAATAAAATCCTAGAATTATATTAATAATTGTTAACAAATAATCGATCTTATTTATATTATATTCTTCATGAACATTTATAAGTGTACCTTGAATACTCAACATAACACAACAAACGAGTATTTTAAATAATTTTTTAATTTTACACGCAAACAAGTTGTAGTTAAATTAATATTATCCCTTTAGTAACTAATAAGACATGGGTAAACTTGTCTCTTATCTACATCACCCACATAAAAAAAATAATTTAAATTCAATAAAGTCCAAACAATATTCCTCGAGGTAGTTATTTAAGTCACTAGCCACTACCAAATAATTGTTTGTCTTAACAACTATATTGTTTATTTTCAATAAATGTTCAAAAAATAAAAATAAAATAAATGTATTATTATATATTTGGATACAGGCCGCTATCCGTGTTGTGGGGAAAGAGCTTTCCGATTTAAGCTGGTGAAAAATCCTTTCGTAAGATAAAAATTCAGTACCTACATAATTATTTTAATTTCAGTATTTTATATTAAGTAAAAATTATTTTATTTTTTTATTTTATTCTAGGGTTGTAAATTCCGTATGCATGTACCGAATAAAGAAAACATATTTTGTGAACGCATCCTGAAATTGATGTGTAATAATCTAGAACTTACTATTGCGAACCCTCCTGCATTGAATCATGAAAACAAAATCATGAAATTTATCAACTTGAACCCTGGTAAATTACAAATTATGTTATTATGTTAAATATAATAAAAGTAATATTTGGTCTCTAGTATCCAACGAAATTGTGTCTTATGTTCCTAGACCATCGTTACAATCCACTACTCGGAAAGTTTAACATCCACCTGCATTACAAACATCTATGTTTTATCAATAATATAAATGTTTATTCAACTTAATACTTTTTTAAATAAATTACAGATTACATTTTATAAGTCAGAATTTTCAGTTATGAAAGATATTACGACCTGACTTCAAGTATTATATCTAAGACTGTGAGCGTTATTATACAACCTGATTCTTAAGTGTTTTCGATATCCTTAACTATTTGCCAAGCTCTTGTGTCTATCTCCCTTGTATATGATGTCTTCAATGAGAGTGGTGGTTATGGTTATAGCGATTAATCTAGGTTGAACTTTGATGATTTAACTGTAACATTTGGTATTTTAGTTAATCCAATTCTTTCCAATGAACATTTTAGATTGATTTTCCACCGTTAATACGTGAGACTTAATTTATTTATTTTTTTAATCAGTTAACACAGTGGACGCTACGTTTTTCACACTGTCCTAATATGCTTGTGTCTCTAATATCCTAATAATTTATGTCACCATACCTTTCATGAGTAAACTTTTATATTATGATTTTAGAAGTTTACTAGGTACGTAATACCATACTACACTTTGGTCAGAATATTCATACTAGTACTTTTTAAATTTTTATTTAATTCGTCTAATACCAATACTTTTTTGACGATTTATGTTAGTATAAGTCAAAATAATTTAAATGGATTAATCTATACATACATTAAATTTATAACTCAAGCTATCTAAACTTTCTTAAATTATTATTATTTAACTTTAATTAATTGTGTAAGGTTTTGAAATTATAGACTAAAATATAATAAATAACAATACAACAAATATTCAATTCTATTCACGTAAAATTGCTTAATTTTCAACATAATGTGTTTTTTTTTTCTGTCCCAAAATATAATATAAATAAAAAAAATATGATTGATGATGATACTGCGTTTTTGGATAGGAAATTTAATATCACCGTGCATTTTTCCCGTATCGCAGAAGTAATAAGTTTTAACTATAATAGATTTAACTTATGGTAGCTTTAGTGATGATGGAAATAATGCCGGATGGCGCTATTTAATCATCCAAACAATTTTTAAATACAAAACAAAGAACATATTTGTAAATTTGTTTACTCACTTATAATAAATAAACAATTTATGAATGCATAGTAATATTTAATAGTAGTATTTCTTAATATAATTTTTATTTTATAGGAATAAAAAGATCAAATTATCAACATTGGTGGATAAAATTGACGTTAGGAGCGAATGATTATACGCATCAGCCAATAATTTCTTTGGAGTCTCACTTTCCAAACTGTCAGAAGAAAAATAAAAATTGGAAGAATTTAAATAAAAGTTAGCAGATTAAAATTATAATGATTTAAAACGTGCAAACTTTTCGTGTTTATATTGTACCATAGCGTTTTTGTATTTATATTCAATACTTATATAGGGAAAGCAAAACATTTTATTGAACTCAAGAAGATGATGGACATTGACAATAAATCAACGATTGTAAATTCATCTAAGAGTTCAATAAATCTTAAAGAAAATACAAACATCACTACTCAAATGTCAAATGAAAAATTAATCAACGCCAAAAATTTGATAAACCAGTATCTACTCACATTATACATTAATTATAATACAATCTAGTGTTAATAAAAATATGGTTTAAATTCTGAAAATTAAAATATTTCTGAATCATCAGATATACGTATATATACATGATAATAATTCACAAAAATTCTTAACGTTTTTTAAAAAGTTGTTTTGAATAGTATGAGCAAATTGTTTTAAAACAACTTAGAAACTTAATAAAATTCTTTTAAACCATCTATTTTTTGAATGATAATAGATCAATTATTAGGTAGAAAACTAAATAAAAATAATTTGTTTATCAATAATAAAACTAAAAAATTGATTAAAAAAAACATGTCTTTCTAACGATTTTTTATTATATAATTAAATATATATTTGAATTAATTTAACTTTAACTTCGATGCACAAAGTATTTATTTTTTTTTTCATCGACTCCATGCGCTGAACATAAGAAATACAATCTAAATTTCAAAAATCATAACTTTCTAATTGAAGCCAAGGAACACACCCTTGCTAATTGTTTTTGTTTAAATATATTACAAAAATATTGATTATTCTATAATTATGAAATTAATTAATTTTAAGTACCTAATTAATATGAATGTTAGTTATATATGAATGTTATAGGTTTCGTTTTAAATTTTTTTCATTACAATAGTTGAATTCAAAATATACGAAAGAAAAACGACCAATCTTTAAATATCAGAGCTGAGACAAATGTTATCAAAACTAAATTATTTCCTGAAAAATCAACCTCCATTCAAAAATGATTATTAAATTAATTAATTTTAATTTGATGAATTTTAATGAATATATTAAATTAAGTTTATGAAACATTTTTGTTTATTTAAAAAAAAATAATAATCATATTTTTGAACAATATTCCGATAGTAGGCATGATTAAATATTGTTAAATATTGTTTTAAATTGTAATATATTATATTGTTTTGTGTCAACAACTATAACTACCTGATATAAATAATAAAGTCATAAAAAAAAATTTAAAAAATAAACGTGACTATTCCCATAAAAAAATTTAAATAAAAATATTCACGTTGTGCATTTTGAAAAATTTAAATTTCATGTTTTAGGTCACATAATGTCGTTAACTTTTAATGCAGTATTTTATGAATTTTTATTAGTTTTTCAACATATTCAACATACAGCCTCATCTATAATAGTATTGTATTTTGTGCATATTTAAACTCACGTGGTTTTTAGAGAAAATTTGTGGAAAAAGCAGTCACCGATGACCTCCATCCAGGATTCACAAAGAGAACAAGAAAGTCTTTTCTTTGACCAAATTACAGTAAACCTCATTAAATCAAGAAAAGGAGAAAAAGGTTTACTCGGAACTCCCGACCAATTCAGTAAGTTTTTGCCTAGAAAGTTATAACGTTCACTAAACTGTTTTATAACGGTGTACAAAACATCTTTTTTTTTTCATTTGTACGAAGGAGATAGTTATACGCTGATTCGTGCAAATATACTAGCAAAAATTGAAGCACGCAACAAACCCGCGGGTATAAAATCCACAAAAACATTTCTCGGTAATAATTTGTATGACACAATATTAAATAATTGTTCTGATACACAGTAGGTGTCGATAATAATTTATCATAGAATAAATCACTGCAATGTATATGTTAAAATTGTATTCATTGATAAATCATTATATACAAAAAATGATTCTTAGTACAAAAGTCTATCAGTTTATAATATAAACTCTATATCACTAAGTATATTTCAATAAAATTAAAATTAAATTAACTAATTTTACTACAAGAAATAAGATTAATTAATTTATTTTTTTTTTTTTTTTTGAAAACATTCAATTATTATAATAGTAAATATTTATATAATTTATTATTGTAATTAATCTTTCTGTTAATACCAAGAACATTAAAGTGTGAATCATAAGTTCGTAGTTATAAATTGACAATAACATAAAATTAATCAAAATGATTTCTATTATTTCAATGAATTTAACGAAATTTCAAATTCAAATGCTTATAAAAAAAATATCGTACCTATGTATTTTTAATATTTTTATATAAATAAAATAAAAATCTATAAAGAATCTGGAAGTTTCAGAAATTTTAGTAGACAGTTTAAGTTACTACAGTTATATGTGTTTTTTCATATATTTGTATATACGATAAATAGTTGAAAAATGTTTCGAATTTTAAATTAGAGGATGTTCAACAAATGCCTATATTAGAATTTCTTTCAATTATTAAATAAACATCTCTTCAAATGTTTTTGAGCTCTTTTCGTTAAATCAAAATTATTATTATATGCCAAAATTAGTATTTAATCAAACTTCTTGATAAATTGTTTACTAACATTTTTGAAAAACATTTTCACATTTTTTTCTTTAAGTCATTGAAATTTAAGTTTCAAAAAATTTTGTAAATTATTGAAAATTTTAAAATTATTTTATAATCAAAAATTCATAATAATAATTTTTTTTTTTATGTATAAGATTTAAAAATTGAATACCACCTAACCCTATATTTAAAAAAAATTGACCAAAATTGATTTTTTATCCCATAAAAATATTCACAAAACATTTTCATCAAATGTTTATATTATCTTTAGGTGACAATCTGTCTCGCTCAGAATCATTAATATATCATTGAGTTCAAATTTAACACATTTATTACATGACTCACTTGACACTTAATGACCAATGTATAGTAGAGCAGTAACAATATGCTAATGTTTTTTACTTTAAGCCTCCCAAAATATCAACTAGATCTAATTCGTTACAAAAAAAATCACCTTTCCAGTTGAAAACTTAGTGCAATTTTTAAATTATTAACATCAATATCTGACACTTAATCATTAAGTATATATAATAATCACTACCGTACAGTGCGATACTTAACTTTGATCATTTTTCATTGTTTTATAAAATTCTAAGGATTCAATGATATGTATAAGTTTTATAATAATGAATTTTTTTATTTTTATTTTCGGAGCAGTAATATTGATTTAATCTTCAACTTAAATATTTTTCCGGTAAAAAAGTTAATATATTTGGTACTTTGAGACGTCCAAAATAAAACATTCACAGTATTTATTTTGGTCATTATTGCAAATAATCATAAAAAAAAAAATTAAAGAAAACTAGTTTTCAACAAAATCAATTTATTTATTTTATTTTTTTATCCGTAAATAATTAAAATTTTCACTATATGTTAATTTTATTATTTCTTGTACATGGTAAAATGTAAATAACTTTCCAAATTTTTAAACTAAATTTAAGTTAATTATAAATATTTTCAATATTTGAATTTTTCTTTTTTTTTTAATTATAATGAAAATATTTATACTGAATCAAAAATGATTTATAATATAATATACAAGATCCTACATAAATTATTCATTTAAAAATTTATAAAATTTTTAGCTTGAAAAATTAATACCAGGTTCCTCATAAAAATATACATTACTTAAACCCAAAAATTTAAAAAATAAATCCATTAATATTTTATAAGTCGATAAATAAATATTTATTGAAATTTATCAAATTTTTAAGTGTAAATTAAATCTTTAGTTATTGCTTATTGTAATTCTTTTTAGCTCAATATTTCAAACTAAAATACATTATTTTTAATAAAACTTTTGCATACACTTGGATAAGAGGCTGTTAACAATCCTGAAATATAATTTAAAGATTTAGATTAAAAACAATTTTTTTTAACATAATTTTTTATTTAGCAATCTGTTATAAACAAATTAACAATAGTCTTAATTCATACACTAAATTCATATTTAATAGTCAATGGATAGACGGAGTGAAGAGATCTCTCATTAGAGATACTTCGTCGAGAGAAAATTAAAAACAAAATATTTTTTTTTCATACAATTGTAGTGATAAGTGTTTGGTGTATTTTCAGATAAGAAAAAGAAATAATATCAACTATGCAAATGCCAAAATAATTTCAAAACCACATGTTTTGAGGTACCTACACAATTTACTAAATTATATACTTTTAACCGTATGCGTCCATTTACTATTCAACATAGTAAAAACCAAAAATCAAAAATAAACTATCTATAGTAAGTAATACGTGGGTGATTTTATTTATTATTTGTCATTAGTTCAATGATAAAAATAGGCATACCACAAAGAAAATATTATTAAATGATATATTTTTATTTTTTTTGGAATCTTTTGTCACCAAAAGCTCAAAATCATAAATTTGGCACATGCACATAAAAATTGTTTGTGTAAAACGATATTTTACTATTAAACTGATCAAGAAATTATATAAATTGGCCAGTTTATACATTTTTAATGCTTCGTATTTTATATGTTACGTATAGTATTCAAAAATGCAATACTTAGATAACAACATGTTTTTAACTCTTCACATACAAATTAAATATCATATTATTTAACTCAATGCGGTACTTGACTTTATAAATTCAGTAAGATTTATGATTTATAAAAAAAAAAAATATATCGTAAGCAATAGGTTGTTGATTTATAATGGCTCTTGTAAATTTTATGTCAAGTTAATATCCATAACGGGTCAATGTGATGCTTCTTTGCATATTTTCAGGCGTTTTAAAATAGATAACACTTATTATGTAAATACCAACTAAACTTAATATTTTTTTTTTTTAATAACACAAGAAATGTGTTAGTTTAATAATGATATGTTTTTTTTTTATTATTATTATTTATTAATTTGTTCTTGTATCACATGTTATAGAGGAGAACATTCGTTGATTATTTTATTGTTCAGAAAAGAATGATCATAACGACTTAAAACTTTCACCAACAAATTTTAATAGAATTTTTAAGACATTTTATAATTTATAAAAATTTAGTTTTTTT